TCCTGCTGAGCACATAGCTGCAAGCTCTTCTAGAAGACCTATGCAGCTTGCTTAAAGTTAAAAATGAAGTACAGAAAAAGGGGGGAAATCTCACATCTCCAAGAATAGCATTCATTGTAGTTTGAAAAAGAGCAAACGACCTTTTACTAGAATGGAACGTGAGCCAAATCAAGAATACAGTCATATGAGAGAACTGGTGATTATGGGACCAAGAATCAAAGAAAAACAAATTCATTACTAGGCAAACAAAGCATCAGGAACAGCTGCAGAGCTTACTACAAACCTAGACAGGTAGATAAATAGAGGATTATAGTCTAATAGTGAGACAGTAAGTTGGATGAGTAACACGTAATCCATTTCAAGAGAATTCTGATTTTGAATTATGTCATCATTTTACTGTCATGAAGCAACTTTATCAAATAATCAGGCAACAGGACACCAATATCAGTCTCCACTTAAAGCACTTGTTTAGATTAGATATTACATCTGGAGTATGCTTTTCTCCTGGTAGGAGTCTTAGCTGCTGAGCTGTCAAGTTTGAAGGCAAAAATCATAATCTTAACTCACTGAAATTGCAACTGGTATCGGAAAGATATCAGTCATACAGGAGGTCATGTTCCCTATAGTTAGCCTGTCTGATGTTTTTACAGCCGATTAAATTTGTAATTATTAATCTCAAATTACTAATGAGAGTTTATGCCAGGCAGAAGTTGCACTGGACTAAACATCTGTTTTGGTGGTCTGAATGATGTGGTGATTTTGAATTGAAAATCATTTTGTGGATTTCACCTGATGCCATTATTTTAGTTACATGGTTTTGTCCTCTGAATTCTACCAACTGATGTTGTGTGAGGTCTTTAAAAAGAAATAAAATAAATCAAAGCCCATCATTAATTTGTAAGTGTGGTTGGTCCTTGCTAGCTGGTTCCAGGAGTACTGATCTCACTTAACTCCCCAGCTGAAGAGACTGTTGGGTCAAAACTGCACCATTCAGTGACAAATATGTCATTACCCCACCAGCTGATTTTATCAGTCAAGAATTATTAAAATCCAAGCAGTTATGTCAAATAAACAAGACATGATTAAGCCAAAGGGCCCCCAGCATGTCGGAGAGTTAAAAGCTTCTAAAAGCTTGTAACTTCTAATATTCTTGATTCTTCAGATGTGGAAACAACTTCTGTGCAACGCACCGCTATGCAGAGACTCACACCTGCACCTACGACTATAAGAGTGCAGGGCGAAGGTATTTGCAGGAGACCAATCCCGTCGTTAGTGCACCAAAGCTTCCCAAAATCTAACGTGGTTGTGCTGCATGTGGCTGTTCTGCCAGTGAAGAATTGTATTACCTTGAGAGAAGCACTTGCTTAAACGGCATAATTTTGCCATGCTCCATATCTAAAGATTTGCCAAGTAACAAAAGCACATGAGGATGCATCCTATTGAAGAATAATGTGAACACTACTGCAGTTAAAACTTTTCTTCTTTAGTGAATGAAAAGTTAAAGTTTTAAAGTTTTTTAAAACTTACACTATGGTTTAACTGTTACTGCACGTCTTGTGTTGTGTTTCATATTTGGAAAAGCTATTTCACTAGACAAGTCTTTAAAAGATGCACTTTACTAACTTTCACTGTATAACCAGACTTGAGGGGGTGTTGTAATAAGAGTGTCTTGTAATGTCTTCTGTACTCTTGCGTTTTTTGTCCATTGTGTGGTATCTTCTAAGTTATTTCACTAGAGAGATCCTCCTCCCTCCCCTTTCTTCAAGCAGCCTATTTTGAGATTTTTAAGGGGGTAGTGTGTTCTGCCCCTCTGTTCCATTCAGATTGGCATTCATACACTGTGTATCCATTCTGAAAATCACATACTATGTTAATCACATTTTCTTAAAATAATACTGTTTATATGACAAGTTTGTTTTTAAATAGAAAATTCCCCTTTTGTTGCCATTAAATATAAGGAACAACTTATTTTAACTTTTTTTGTAATCCTAGATTTTTTTAAGACTTCCCAATTTGATTTGTTAAGATGTTGAATGCTGTTACTGGAAGAAATTCTAATAAATATTAAGTTTTATTCTGGTTTATGCTCCTATAAGTACACAAAAATCACTTTTCCTATCTTACAGCATGCTCCTAAATTAAAAGTTGGTCTTTGTTATATGGGGGGATTTTTTTTTTTATTTTTTTTTTCAGAAGCACTAGCTTATCTCTGTTCCCATTGAAGTCGATGGGAAAATTCCCACCAACTTTATTAGGAATAATGTGACCAACACTTTGTACTTTACATAAACCTCCTAAAGTCTTGCAGATGTACTAGCAAAGGCAAAATGGCATATATTAACCTGCAGCCTTTCTCTCCTCCAGCTGCTACTGTGCAAAAGCAGCTCCGTACTTGAATGAGGCATCTCCAATGAGCATGCAGCTACTCCGGAAAGCAGTGTTGGAGGAATAAATCTACTGCCAGCCTTTCTTCTTTGATTCCCTTAATGTGTCTGAAATCTTTTTATAAGCTTATGTTGCTTGAGATGCTCTAGTATAAACAGATGAATAAAAAACCTACAACATACCACCCAAACAAAAGAAACCCCTCCACACTGCATTTAGGCAGAGACCTTGGCTACTTTGTTGATTGTGGTATTAAAATGATCTATGCTCCATTCCAGTCAAACAGTAGCAACTGATAAGCATGGCAATCACAAGTTGGGCCAAAAAAAGAGGATCACCAAAAGGGACAGAAGTAACTTGAAGAATTCTCATCCTTGAAGGAAATCCATTTCATGTAGTCCACCTGAAACTTCTGAAACCTTTTGGAGTTTTCAGAGTGATAACCTTGGACCAAAATTTTCAAAATCATTCTTCTGGGCAGTGATAAGGTAAAACAGCAGTTCTGTGTGTGTGACCTCTAGGCTTATTTCTTCTTATGGGACAAAGTTGCATGTAGTATACAGAACGTGTTACTGAGCAGTGCTAGGTACCGTGGACATGCATGTAGTTTTTATTTCATTTCCAGCGTGGGACAATACTTGATACTGAAGAAAAGAATAAGGAACAGGGCAAATGTACCGGTGTTTTCCCAGCAATTTCTTATTTGCTGCTTGGCAACTTTAATTTTAAAGACAGAGAGGTAATGGTCTTTTTGTAGGTATAGTAGAGATTTACTAAGAAGTGAGATTAAAATAATATTGGCTGTCATCACTTAATCTGATTTTGCATAAGTACAATTGTCAGGAAATTATTTTGCAGTGGATTAGAATGACCATACTCAAATTTTAGTAAGGCTACATAACAGAGATGTATGGCACGAAGTTTCTTGAGTCAAATCTCAATTGCGACTCTCCCTTTCTGCATATGTATAATGAAGTGCACAACAATACTTCTCAGAAAATGCAGTGTAGTAGTAATCTAATTTCCACATATGTAGCTTCTCATAGGTTTTTTTATACTCCATTTTGATCATACCTAATACAGATCACAGAATCACAGAATTGCAGGGGTTGGAAGGGACCTCAGGAGATCATCTAGTCCAACCCCCCTGCCAAAGCAGGTTCCCTACAGCAGGTTGCACAGAAAAGCGTCCAGGCAGGTTTTGAACATCTCCAGAGATGGAGACTCCACACCCTCTCCGGGCAGCCTGTCCCAGTGCTCTGGCAGATGTTCTTGTGTAGAGCTCGTCTGGTTTTGTTCTCCAGTACTGTTACAGGCACTCTTATTTTCAACCAGTAGTACAGCCTATGAGCACTTCTATTTGTAATTAACTGATCTAGTTGCTAATTTATATGCTGCCAGGTTTTACCAAATCCTGTGTTAGACTGTGCTATGGATTAATTACTGTTTACTGGGTAAACAACCTAAATGGTTTGGTTTTCTGAGTATTAGTCAGTGTTCTGTGGTGCTATGCATCTGCTGTAGACAAATGTTTAGCTTTTGTGTATTTGTTCATGTAATTAGATTGTATCATAAAGTATTTACGTAACAAAGTTTAACAATGACTTTGGTGTGTGCTTCTCTACCTTCCTGTCAAATATTTTTTGCATGCTGCTTTTATGCTGGAGGACCTGTGAGGCATAACCAGGCTGGTCTCTTGTTGAATGACCTCCAGGATTCTTGTGTCAAATGGATAAGTGCCACAGAGGTGTCAGAAATGTTTCTGGATTTAGAATGAAGTATTTCCTTTCTTTGAAATCTCTAGCAGATCATGGTGATAAAAATCTGTCTGTGTGCAATTCCCATCTCTATTCAGTTTGCAATCCCCTGGGATGTAATTGCACTGGTGCCTTCTGCTAACACTCTTCAGTTGTAGACAAGGCTAGAATTGTTAATGTTTTATGTTACAAAAATGAAGTCTTTCTAGCTTTTTTACATAGTATGAATTAGACACTTTGGTTTCTTTTCAAGTACTTCCAACTTTCATAATGGGGCACCATCTCCTGGGTGTCAGTTGTGGGTTTGGAGTTGCTTCCACTTGTAGCTTTTGTTTTGGGTCATGTTTTTTCAGTTTTTTGTAAATTAGGTTAATCTTGAAATGCATTTGACACTTTCTCTGGTATCTGTGTTAGCACTGAGCCACGGTTGCTCATGTGAGGACATGCATGTTAACTAGGAAAGCCATGTGAAGCTATGGGACAGTTGTGTGAGCCTGCGCTGCTTCTGATTACTGTAGTTCTTACCCTGATTTTACTTTGGGGTAGTTTTGCAGTGTTTGCAATGGTTGGAGTGTTAGGTAGAAAACAATGAAAAAAGGTGATTTCCTTCCTGTAGTTACTGTCGTGTCTAAAGATTATTGTCTGAAATCAGAAGATGTGTTCAATAGAAAGATGAACTTAGGCTGTTTCTTGTGAAACAGGTGTATTTAGAGCCATGGGAATATAGTGGATGGTAATGCTTTGTTTTTAATGTGTAGAACTGTAATTATTCACTTTCTCAGTAGAAGTTTGCCAAAACAGTTTCCTGTTCTCCTTAGCTGGTTTCAGTTCCTAGTTTATATTTGATGTTCCTAGGGTTACTTATGTATGCCATTGACTGTTACAAGCATATCTGTTCACAGGTAAAGGGACGTTATTTTT